GGGGGGCATTACATTGATCGTGGACGTTTCCATTTGGCTACCATCACCTCATCACCATCGCGTCGTTGCGGGTTGCGGTACCCACACTCGCTGACGTGTCGTGGACTCCAGGACCTCCAGGGCGGCGACGCGCCGGCAGCCTCATCGGGTTTGGCGCGGAAACCTACTGCAGCGGCACCAACCTAACCTCAGCGCAGGTGGGCATCGACGGAGAGTCCAAGGCGATGCCGAGCTGGAGTTACATGAAATAGTAATCCTGTCATTTGAATTTTTGCGGTGAAAATGTCCTCTGTGAGCAGCAAGTCCGGGCATTTGGCTCGAGGGTGTTTAACGCCGCTGAAGTGACATGCCGCCGGTGCCAACAAAATTAATCTTGCATTGATTTCAGTGCGATTATAACTTATTTGGTTGGCAGGATCCCTTCGTGCGAAAGTATGCCCAAAAAGCGACGAAGGGGACAAAAAATGTGTGTGTGTGTGTGTGTGTGTGTGTGTGTGTGTGTGTACAAGTTATTGTGTGTATCAGCTGATGGTACTGACCTTGCCCAAGGAGCCTCGTAGTCGTTTGTGACGTCATTAGTCTTGTTGTCACGGGCGTAGTGTTTCAAAGGGGGTAGGTGGCATGAGGGATGTGGGGGGGGGGGAGGGGGAGGAACACTCCCATTAGCAGGGTAGCACCACCTGGCCAGCGCCCATTCAATCCAACTGCAGCTCTCTCCCTGTCGCTCGCGTTCCCTCTTACTGCCGATCTGTCCGTACCGCATTTACTTGTCACAATGCCGTCGCTATCCATTCCTTTCCTTGCCTAGCCTTTTGCCGGCCTCTTTACCTGTCGTGTTCCCGTGCCCATAGGATGTGTTGGCTGTCGCGTGTTGTTGCAGCACTACGTTTTCTTTTACGCCACTTGTTTGCAGTATGACAGAGTTCAAATTGGCTTATTCTTTCCATAATATGAAGTTTGAAATCTCGAGGATCGAGCCGATGAAGGTGAGGCAGGGCGAAGGGGACGAGGGGAAAGGAGGGGATGGGGTGGGGTGGGGGAATCACTGCCGTCGGCCGGCCCATAAAACACCTCCGTGTCTCTGACAATACCTGTATTGTATCGGCAACGGTCCGGGCCAGATCGCGCGCGGACCAAAAGGTGTCCTCTCCGCTACACTGCTCACAAAAACAGAAATGATTCGAAATTTCTTTTTTTTCTTTCTGGCGTACTTTTCTCTCCTTGTAGCAGCCAGCAAACGTTTCACTAAAAGGAACGTTGTCGAAACCTTATGTTCCCTGGCGAATCTATGTGAAAGAACGATTGTCAATCGTCCTTCCTCATACTTTCAATCAGTGTTTCTTACTGTCAAAAATATGTTTGTATAGACGGTACTTAATTGTACGACATATTTTGTAATTTGTCTTTTACAAAATGCGTCGTACACGTACAACCTCCCTACCTCCCACCAAGCTCTCACTCCTGCTCGTCAATCGAGTTCGCTAGTCGATACGGAAGTGCTTGCACGTTTTACAAACTTGAATTGTGATTGGACGGCTGCTTCCATGGGAAATTTTCCTGAACCCAGTACGCCAATTTTTGACATGGGCCATATGCAAATAGTTCAATGGCTATGTGAAGTACAAGGTGGTTGCTGTGGCCTGTTGGAACGAATGCGCAGAAGCCCGCATGCAGGCGTGCGCTCGGATTGCCTATTCGCACGGGGTCATAAGGCGCGCCACATATGACATATGTAGCCAGAGACGTCAGGCGTCAGGCGAACCCGTCCGCTCCCGTGATGCGGGTATTTGCTCCAACGGGGCACAACCATATCAACCTGTATTTTAAGTGGGCGTTTGTTCGAAATTTCTCAGTCATCTGTTTGACCCGTAAAGTGTTTGAGCGCTGCAGACCAACCGCTCACCTCCGCCCGTGTTCTAAAAACTATCAGTGATAATCTTCTCATGAAAGAAAGCGATCCCTACTGTTAATAAGGGACCCAGAAATTGTACGTTAATGGGTTAAAGTCCGGCGATACAAAGCGCAATCCAGTTGGCAGCCGTGGCGGGGGCGCGCCGAGGCGACGGTATCGATCCATAGTGTGAGGTTTCAGCGGCTGGACCAATGAGGCGGGGGCTGGAGCGCCATCCCTCTGCACGTGCACACTCACGCTCACACACACACATACAGGCACACACACGGCCACACGCACTCACACACATAGCGTTGAGAGGGATAGAGGCTCGCTTGACAGCTCTCGTCAGCATGGAGCGCTGGAGCGCGCATGGAGCGGCAGGCAGGGGTGGGGGGCATCTCCTCTTGCCCAATGGCATCACCCTCCTGCCTGATGCACGTCCCGCGAGCGCGTTCAGGGCGCGTTCCAGTTTCAATAGTGTAGTGCAGGCCGGTCGAGGGTGCTTTGATGTATACACATGATTCCCGAAATTCTTGATTCCCAGTGATTCCCGTGCGCTTACATCCATTCCTTAGGTTTTCTTGTAGTGGAAAACGCTTATTTCGACTAATTTGTATTAGTTCCACTAGTTTCCCACTTAGTTAAGGTCATTTCTGTTGATTTCGATTAATTTTTATTCTGATGATTCCCAGGCAGGTGTACACACGATTCCCGGAGTTATTGCCCCCTCGAGGCTGGTGGCAAGCTAAGATATGCCGAAGAAAGTCGAGAGGTTTTTGATAAGTCGTTCTTCATAGCTAGGTGAGGTGCTATGTCAAAATAAAGGGGCGAGACTTTCCTGTAAAAATTGAAGACGGGTAGCCAAGACTAGCTCTTTTTAACATAACAGCCATGACAAAATACTTACAAATTATGGTAAAATTTGTACTAAATATGCCCTGGAAAATTTTCATTTTATTACGTAAATTGACGTGCCCGAGCTTTACCTAAATTATTGCAGAACTTAAAGAGGGGAAATTACACAGTTATTTTAATCTGCACAACTGTCAAAAGATAAAAGATGTGGGAAACCCGTAAAATCTAACAGTATGATAAGACGACAGTTTTAACTGCAATACTGAAACTTTTACAGTTCAAACTACAAAACAGAAAGTCTAACAGTCTACATTGTACTAAACTTGAAGTGGAAGTATTAAAATGCTGCAGGGCTAAAATTCTCAGTCGCTAATTTTCCTTATCTGTTCAACAAAAGCATGTCAGTGTAAATTTGTTTTTCGCTGTGCGCGCGACAGGCCACGACGTCTGGCTGTAGGATCTCCACCCCCCCCCCTCCCCCTCCGCGCTCCTTTGCGAAAGGGGATGATGCTATAGGACGCGCGGCCACCATGACCACCCCCTCCCCTCCCCTCGCTCCCGGCTGCGCGCGCACGGCTCCAGCCTCCAGCCTCCACCCCTCTCCCCCTCCCCTCCCCGCACGGGGCGCGGTCTCGCACTCCCCGCGCTCGGCTTCATCCCCTCAGTGAGCTCAGCGGCTGCAGCAGCAACAGAACAGCCACCAACCCTCTGCGCCCGGGCGGGGCCGCGCCCCTTGTGAGTAGAGCGGTGAGCGGGCGCCAGCCCATGCAAATTTAACATTTTTGGGGTTATTTTCATGTCAATATCTCGTATTAAACGCTGTCGTAAAAAAATATGAATCAGTGAAATCGAATATAAAATATGTTTACATTTAAGTTATCATATTCATAATTGATTTACGATTTGCTGTTTAATAAGGCAAGCGCACCAACAGATCTAAAACAAAAATTTAAAAAGTTCAGTTTGCATGCTGTGGGTGTAAGTCAGCGAATGAATGATTCCAGGCGAACAAAATGAGCCATGAATTTGTGCGCATGAATGAATAAATGAACGAGCTACTACGGAGCGAGAGTCTTTGTTCTCATCTAATCCATCCGAGTAGAGGACACTATCAAGTTAGTGTTTCGACACTGTCATGTGCATCCCGTGCCTGTCGCATGGCGCTATAGGCTCGCGCGAGTGACGGAGCAGCTCCCTCCCTCCCTCCCTCCCGGACGTATGTATGACGCTCAGCCCGCATGAGGCTAATACCCCTCATGTCGGCGCCATGGGCCTCCCCCCCCCCCTCCTTGCCGCCCAGCTCTGCGTTAGAGAAGATCCGTTTATTTCTCGGTTTTATTAATTTCGTTTCTAAAAGTTTGGTCCGTTTCTCTCTCAAGCTTTAATTGCACGAGTTATGTCTGCATGTGGCCGCCGGCACGCCCCACAAGTGGTCACATGACTTTCAAATTATTCGTGCAGTTGTCTAATTCTCCCCTCGATCTGGCACGAGTCAGAGTGAGTAGAAAGTACTTTCTGTCCAAAACAAAAAGACATTTGGAAAAATACTGCGTACAATTTTTTGTGTACAATGTGTAAGGAACAGATTGAAAATTGTGAATTTGCGATAGTTGCCTCGTTCCAGGCATTTTTTTTACCCTTTTCGATCAGTCTAAAAAGTAGCCCCGCTTGTCTTTTCCCTGTTTTCGCTTGTGCGCACGCCCGCCGATCCTTCTCACTCGACGCACATTTTTGGTCGGCTATTTCAGACGTGCCCGAGCCGCGCTCAGTTAACAGCTGAGCAACGTCAAACACACCGGCGGATGGCGGCACGTTTGAGATACGGCGGAATTCAATGCTAAAAAAGCAACACCACTCAAGTAAAGATTTGACAAGTCGCGAGTGAGTGTAAATGAACTGCCGGGCTTATTAGAACCTCGTAAATGCAGAAAACGAGTCATTGACCTTTATCATTTTCATAGTTTTTTTAATCATTAATATTGGTAAAAATGTGGGCTTTTAAAAAATTCGTTGAAGACGTCAGAAAATGATAGTGTGCGAGGCCCCTAAAGTTCGTGCCTCCATGGGAGCAGCTGCTACCGTTGGTGTGTTTGTGTAATGTGTGTGTATGTGTGAGTGTGAGGGGTCAGAAATAGACGGCTTTCGTCACGGCCGGGCCCATTCCTCCCGATCAGCTGTTTGCCGCCCTGATCCGACTGGACAAAAATAATTTACTATGAAACTTGCAAGACAGCAGGACAAGTCCAAAAAATATATTCGCGGTAAATAAGTTGTGCAAAATTTAATGACTACTGTAGTTTTTCATTTGACACCATGTACTTTTGGCCGGCTCTCCAGACGTCGACACCCTCGTTCGTTAATTTAGAGAGACTCATCCGCCAACGCCTCCCGCCGTGTCGTGGCGTGGCGTCGCGGCCTGCTGACTGCGGGGCGGGAGCAGGGCGCGGA